TTTTGTAGAGATGGGGTCTTACTACTTTGCCCAGACTGGTCTTGAACAATCCCCCCCCTTTTTTTTTCAAAGTGCTGCGATCACAGGTGTGAGCCACCGTGCCCGGTCTACTTTTTTTTTTCTGATGCTAAGACAAGGGTTATGGGTCTAGGAGGAAGAGCCCAGTGGGGGGGCACCCCCGTCGCATCTGCCCGCGTGACCTCTCAGTGGTGGTGCCAGCCTTGACCTCTGGGCTGAGACAGTGGGTCGGCCTCTGCACTGGGGAGATGCCTTGTTTTTTTTTCACACTGTGGTCTCTGGAAGGAAGTCACCATGTGCAACCCACACATTTTTTTTTCGAGCTGGGGCCCCTCCCTGCACCCCTTACTTTATTTAGAAATGAAATTTTGCTCTTGTCGCCCAGGCTGGAGTGCAGTGGCACAATCTCGGCTCACTGCAACCTCCACTTCCCGGGTTCAAGTGATCCTCCTACCTCAGCCTCCCAAGTAGCTGGGATTACAGCTGCCCACCACCACGCCTTTTTGTATTTTTAGCAGAGATGCGGTTTTTTTTTGTTGGCCAGGCTGGTTTCGAACTCCTGACCCCAGTTGATCCACCTGCCTCAGCCTCCCAAAGTGCTGGGATTACAGGCGTGAGCCACCGCTCCTGGCCGGGCCCCTTCCTTTTAAACGTCAGCCTCTGGAGTGACCATCTGTGTCGAGCTGAGTTTTTTTTTGAATGTCCCACCCAGTTGTTGATGACTCTCTGCACTATTTATGTTTTTTTTTTTCTGAACTCCTCCCAACGACGCTCTGCCCTCCACTGAGCAGGGGCTCAGAGAGGCTGTGACACCTGTCCCCAGCAACCAGTCATCTAGCACAGTGGCGCCTTTTTTTTTCTATGCCAGATGATGTCCCCTCGGCACTGCCCACCCCCTACTGCCTTTTTTTTTGAACCCGGGAGCCCGTCCAGCCCATCCAGGAAGCAAAGAAATGGTGCTCCGGACACCATGCGGACAGCTTCACCCGCCGACCCTAGCCAGGCCCAGCCACTCCCACAGCACCTGGCACGGAGTGGGAAGCAAGCAAGGGCAGGCGGGGAGAGAACAGCCTCCTGGCTCTGCCCCAGACGCCTGTCCAACAGCACTCCAGTGCCTTCCTTTTTTTTTCGCTCTGGAACTTTCCGGTTACTGATTACAAGTGCTTTAATCCAGTTTTTTTTTGAAGGAAGAGGAGTTCTGATTGGGTGGACCCTTCTCTTGGAGAGAAGGCAAAGCTGCCAGGCAGAGGGTGGGAGGGAGAGGAAGAGGAGAGAGGAAGCTTTTTTTTTTGGCATAAAATGTCCCCATGATTGCGGACAAGTGGCTACTCTCAGGTTTTTTTTTGCCGAGGCCGGCTGAGGCTGGTCAGGAAGAGGGAGACGGAGGTGAAAGTGGGTTCAAGTTTTGCTAGGTGGTCACCTCGGAAAGGGCTCCTTCTGCTTATTTTTTTTTCTCAATCCTTCGCCTGGCTTGCCAGGAGAACAGCTTGCTTGAAAATTTTTTTTTGTCATCCTGTAATTAAATCTGAGACCCCCCCCCATGTGACGTTGATTTTTTTTTACTTACATAACTCAACTAAAAATAAGCTGATGAAGGCTGCACACTTTTTTTTTTTGCCTCCAGCCCTCCTCTCCCCAGCGGTCCATCGTGCTGGCTGACTTTTTTTTTGCGTCGCCCGCTGTGGCATCAGGTTCTTGTCTGAAGTCACTCCTGTTTTTTTTTCCACCCGGCACCCTGTGTGCATGAGGGCCCATCGCTGGTGCCCTGGCTGCAGACCCCTGGCTCAGAGCTGGGGTGCCGAGGATCCCCCGGCCCGCCCAGTTTTTTTTTGACGCTCACCAGAGGAGACCTGCTGGGTACTGGCTCCGTCTGCCTTTTTTTTTTTGACTCTGGATGAGCTGCTCATTTACAGAAACCTGCTCCCACCCCTTTTTTTTTGTCTGGATTTGCGAAACCTACCCCCACCCCACCCCCAGTGCAGGAAGAAGGTGACCCTGGTCTGGGTGGGGACAGAGCATCTGGGAGGGGGTGGTGGCTGGCAGTCTCGGCGGCTGGCGACACCTCTTCCGCTCTTCCTTCCTGGGAGGAGGCGGGCAGGGCGAAGCCTCTCCGCTCAGTCCATGGTTTCCTCCAGGACGTCTCGTAGAGGCGTGGGTGAGATCCCAGGTCTGGGCCACAGTTTCTAGCCACGCTCCCCAATTTTTTTTTAAGCAGTCAGGTTCCACAGCTACCCCACCACACTCTCAGAGTCGAGGGGAACAGGAAGAGGGGGTGGTCTGTGAACACCTCCAAAATAAAATGCGTCGGTTTTTTTTTGCCCTCCTAACTCCACCTGGAGCTGGCGTCAGGGCGATCTCTGGATGCCCAGCCCATAAGCCTGGCCTGTCTCTTCCTGGAACCCTTGGTACTCAACCCCCCAGCCCCCTACACCCTTTAGAAAGGCTTCCGCATCAGTGCAAAAGGCCTCACTTTTTTTTTGTGAAGGCAAGCACGGAGTGCCCGGGGAACATCCCCAGTGGAGACTTTTTTTTTGACCACTGGTGCAGGGCAGATGCCAGGCGGGCACCGAGTTCCTTGTTTTTTTTTTCCATTCCTACGTATGAGGACCTCACCACGTCCTGTTCTGCGCCTGTCATCAGCTGCGGTGCGTCTTCTCAGGCGCTGAGCTGGTCACCTCCATGTATGTTTTTTTTTCTGATAACCCTCTTCTCAGGGAAGGCCTCCAGCCCGCATTCAGCCTTTTTTTTTGCTGCCAGGTGGAGGGAGCAGGCCCAGGCACTGAGACTGCTGAGCTTTTTTTTTCCTGGAAAGCAGGCTGGGCTCTGAGTCGGTCACCGAATGTGAACGTTTTTTTTTCCTTGGACAGGAGTAGCGCGATGATGAGCAGGCCTGCCCAGGAAGTTTTTTTTTGAGCTTCTAGAAGTTGGAGCGGGACCCAGGACCGTGGGAGCTTTTCCGGAGGGGCCTACCTCTGCTGTGTTGCAGCTGATAGGAGCAGCAGGGCCTGGAGAAGAACTGTCCCCAGGCTGACTCCCCTCTTGGAGTGAGGAGACCTCCCGTGTTTGCCTGCCAGCCTCCATCTGTCATCTTGGTTCCAGCCATTCAACTTTCCTCCAGTTTTTTTTTGCTGCTCTACCCCCACCTGCTCCGTGTTGGCCCCAGACCCAGTTCAGGCCAGTGGACGTCAGTCCTAGGGCTGCGTGTGAGGTCGGTGGGTGCAGAGAGCACAGCAGGAAGCTGGCCTAGACAGAAGGGGGTCAGGGTCAGTGGAGATGCTCCTTTTTTTTTGTAAATTTGTTAGGGCCAGTTTGAGCGAGCTTTCTGTCATTTGCCACCAAAAGAATCCTAGAAAATAAATATACACGGATCTTCCCCCAAACACTGGAGTTTTTTTTTAAAAAGGAAGCAGCCAGGGCCAGAGCTGGAAGGAAATTCAGCTGGAGGAGAGGAGGCGCGGGGCTCTGGTGGGAGGGAGGCAACGCTTCCTGAATCTTACTTCCCTGGTCTTTCCATCCGCAGGAGCCCATGCACTAGCCCCTGCCGATGTCTTTTTTTTTTCCGGCCAGCCAGCATAGCTGGGTCTCCCCCAGGGGCCTGACTCGTTTTTTTTTTGAATGAGTGACTGATTTTCCAGGGATGGGAGGCTGGGAGAGTGTGAGGTTTCATTAAAGAGAAGCGCTCAGATCTGGTGTTTTACATGTAAAGCAAATATTTTTTTTTCGTTAGCCTAATTTATGTAAATATTTCTCCAAAGGAATTGTGCTGTTTTTTTTTCGTGCCAACTCGGCCAGCTTCCCCCGCAGAATCCCCCCTTGGGACGAACCTTAAGCAGGACCCTTTCTAAAAACTGGAGGCAGCTCCGACTCCCCTATTCCCCCTACGAGGTTCCGCCACCCCCCAGGGTTTTCCACCTCCAGAGAGTCCTCCGGGGCCCTCGTTTCCTACTGCCCTCGACCCTGCCTTCCCCAAAGACCCCTTCCCCCAAGTAAACTGCCTCCAACGAGAATCTTCTGCCAGCACGAGGGTCCTCCCCTTCCCTAAGGGTCGCCCTGTCCCGAGGACTTCCAATAGGAAACTCCCTTATCCCCTTTTTTTTTTCTCCTTCCCACGGTCCTCCCCTAAGATCCTCTTCCCCAACCCACCTCCCCTAGAGTCCTCCCCTCTCTAGAATCCCAGGCCCAAGTCCCCAAGCGCTGTTTTTTTTTTTAGGGTCCTCCCCAGAGTTCACCTTCTGCAGGATCCTCCCTCCAATTTTTTTTTTCATGATGCTCCCCCGAAATCCTGCTTCTCCAAGTCGTCCCCCACTCCAGGGCCGAGCTCTCTCCAGGGTCCTCCTGCAGCACCCCCTGCCCCAGGGTTCTCCTCTCTGCCCTGAAAGGCCGGCCGGGGGGTCGCCGCCCGCCCGGCAGGCTTTTTTTTTTTGCGGTGGGGTCGGGGCCTCTCCCACCTGTAAACCCGGCCCGCGGCTTTTTTTTTCCGAGCCGCTCGGGTCCCCTCCCCGCAGCGCCAGGCCGTGACCCGTTTTTTTTTCCGCCCGCCCCGAAGTGCCACTTCGCGAAGTGCCGCCTCCACGCGCGCTCGCCGCCGGCGCCCCCCGCTCTCCTCCCCGCACCTTCTGCTCCTTCTTCCTTTTTTTTTCCGCCCCCGCTTCCCCGCCCCCAGCCCGGCTGTTGCCGGGCCCCCTTTTTTTTTCTCCCAGGGCCCCAGCGCGCGCCGCACCTCCCCCTTCTCCCCCAGTTTTTTTTTCGCCATCGACCAATCGCTGCCTGGAGTCGGCCACCAGGCCCCGCCTTTTTTTTTGCCCCCCTCCCCCGTCTCCGGAATCCACCAATGGAAAGGGCGGTGCGGGGGCGGGGCCTGGCGGTTGCCTAGCAGCGGCAGCGCTGGGCGGGGGCGGGTAGTCGGGGGCGGTGATGCGGGAGCGACGGGGGCGGGACGCAGGGGCGGGGACTGCCGCAGGGCGGGGCCTCAGGCGGCTATAAAAGTGGCCGCCGCCGGCCAACGGGCTTTTTTTTTCGGGTAAGCTTTCCTCTTCGTGTTGCTGTTTCTGCCGCTGCTGCCTTTTTTTTTGCCGCTCGCGCCCCCGCTCCGGTCTGTGGTGCCGCCGGGACCCAGGACCATGTCGCTGACTCGCTCAGAGGAGATGCACCGGCTCACGGAAAATGTCTACAAGGTGAGCCCCGCCGGCGCCAAGCTGAGCCTACTCCGGGTGCGCCCGGGTCCCGCGCCGCCCGCGCGCCCAAGCCCGACCGACCAGGGCGGCCCTGGGGCCGCGCGTTTTTTTTTGAGGCTAGGACTTCGGGGGTCTAACTGGCGCAGCCACCCAGGCCCTTTTTTTTTGGGGTGGTGAGCCCGGCGCCGGCAGCTCACAGGTGGTCGCCCCCTCCCGGCCGCCCCCACCCCATGCCCGCCGCGGCCCGGCCGGTCCCCAGGCCCAGGTTTTTTTTTCCGCCCCGACGGCCCTTCTCGGCCCCGCGCTCCTCTCCGCGCGCCTTTTTTTTTGTCGGCAGGAACGGAGCCGCGCTCCGGGCCCCGGGAGCCCTCGGATTTTTTTTTGTCGTAGCACACCCGGGCGGGGCCGGGGCGGCGGGGGCGGCGGGCTTTTTTTTTGCGGCGCCGGGACGGCGTGGGGGCTGCCTGAAGGCCGCGGCCGGCTTTTTTTTTCCGTGGGGCTTTTCCAGGCGCGGTTGCGCGAGCCTCGGACACTTCTTTTTTTTTAGGCTTTCCCTTTCCACAACTCCTGCCCGGCGCCGATGCTGGGGCTTTTTTTTTGAGGTCGAAGCGCGGGCAGGCTGGATGGGTGGACGGATAATCCATTTTTTTTTTTAACCGCGGAGAGAGAAGACTAATTGTGTAGGAGGCTGACGTGCCTTTTTTTTTTTCAGATGTGTTAAGAGTGGCGTCCACGTTGTCGTCTGTGAAATGACAGGTTCACATCCGAGGGCCGCAGAGCATCGCTGGAAGCCTCCGCTGCCGCCCTTTTTTTTTTCGTTTCTGTGGCTGGGATAGACGAACAGGGCCTTGATTTCGTCTTTTTTTTTTATCCATTCTCGGTCCGGACCCCCACGCCTGAGCCCAGCAGCTCTCGAGGGGCAGTTTCTCAGAGGAGAAACCCCTGTCCTGGGTGGCCCTGGGTCCTAGGCGATCTCTTACAACAAAGATGTGCTTTGTTCCAAAACTGTCTGAAGGTTCAGTTTTTTTTTTGGCTTTGAGTGGAGTGGGTATTTACCCGGCAGTTGCTGGTTCATGCCTCCTAACCGGATTGCGCCCTGCCCGGCAGAGTAACAGTTTCTGATTGTGTTATTTTTTTTTGGCGTGCCTGGCCGGGGGCCTGCAAAGCGCTCTTAGCCCTCAGGCTTCGGAGAGCCAGATGGAGGCTTCTGGGGTGGCCCCTCTGGTTCCAGCCGCAGTGCAGGGGGCAGATTGCATTTGAATACAGCTTTCAATAAAGCTTGTGAAGTTGGGGCCACGTCCGTCTGGAAGGATTCTGAAGGCGGGTGCCGTCGACTAGATGAGTCCTAAAGCCATGTCGGAGCCCCTGGTACAACAGGATTCAGGGTGACCTGAGGAGTCGGCTTGGGAAAGGTACAGGCCCTGCGGTTAGGTTTGGTTTCACAGAGTCTGTGGTTTTTTTTTCTGGTCTTGTTGCTCTGTGGAAGCACACGCCGTCAAGGGAGGGAGTTTTTTTTTATTATTAGTCATTAGTTCCATTACGACTTGTTCGTGATTGCAGAGTTTTTTTTTGCAGTACCACGGCGGAACATTTTTCCTGTTTTCTCTGCTTCTGCACTGAAACCAGAAAGCAGGAACTTTCGTGGTGAGACTTGTGGCGGGGTGGGGGGTTTTTTTTTTGGTTTTGCTCTGGGGGACCGACCCCGTGATCGTCCTTAATAAAACTGTCCTAACTGGCAGTCGGCCTTCACCTAGATGGAGCTGTAATTTATCTGCGGGTTTTTTTTTAATCTGTTGGCAGGAGGGTGGCAGGAAAACTCTTTAAGACTGAGTGTTTGGGGACTTTGAGCCCCTATGGACGCAGACTAGCAGGTCCGGAGCACGTGATTTTTTTTTGTTCTGCCTTTCCTCTTCCACGGGTGGGTTAATTGGTGATTTTCTTTTTTTTTTATGTGGCGGTTGATGATTTGATTTGGCAGGGCTGGGCGCGGTAGGCCCGAGGTGTCTGAAGGGCCGATCCACTTTGGAAAGGCTCTGCCCTGGCGACAGTTTTTTTTTGCTGCTGCACACAGGCGGGGTTGGTTTTGTAGGCAGGTGGCTCCGTTTTTTTTTCTGGGTGCCTGACTGCTGAGTCTTTGAGTCCTGGTGCTGTTACCTTTTTTTTTTTTGTCACTGGGGATCTCAAGGTGCCTTGGTAGTGCCGGTACTGGTTGGGCAGCCTTGGCAATGTCGGCCAGGCAGAAACTCAGCCCACATGGAGACACATTTTTTTTTCCGCTGAAGCCACCGGTGTGCACGCCTGGGCCGGTCCAGCCGGTCCAGGCAGTGCTAAGCTCCGTCGTCTCCTGGGACGGGGCTGCCTCTGGCATCCCTTCCCGGGGCCGCTCCTGTGCCTGGGTTGGCGGCTTGCAGAGCCCTGGCAGTGCCTTTTTTTTTGGCTGGGCTGTGGCCTGCTCAGTGTCACCCGTGATGCGGCTCAGCTTTTTTTTTTGGCCCTTGCATCGCCTCAACTGCAGTTCTGAGTGGTGTTTGCCTTTTTTTTTTAGGACGCTTGTCCTTGGCCTTGCTGATTAAAAATGTGAGAATAAATTTTTTTTTTTTGATTTTCTTCCCTGTAAGAATCTGTAACGCAGACTTTGACCTTTTTTTTTTTGGCTCCATTCCCTTGGGAACTGTGTCCTCGGGGAATTTCATGGATTTTTTTTTGGAGGGGAGCAGAACGCTTCCCAGTGTTTGCAGAGAACACAATCTTTTTTTTTTTGGGGGCAGCACCTGGGCTGGGCCCTGCAGGGGTTGGGAGGGCGAGGCGAGGAAGACCCCTTCCTCAGGAGCCCGGGCCGGGCCCTCGCTCAGGCAGCCTTTTTTTTTGGCCCAGATGGAGGGATGCAGTGCTGGAATTTGCCTCCCCAGATGTTTTTTTTTCCTTTGGTATTAAGGCTACGGAAACTGCAGCCCTCTTAGGGGAGCTTTTTTTTTCCCTGTGTGCTGAGGGGCTGGCTCTCTGGCTGGCTGTGGCTCCCGTTTTTTTTTGCGACTGCCAGGTGGGTGTTTTCCTCACGGTCTTGTGTCCGCAGATTTTTTTTTGCTCCCGGGTGACCCATGCATGACCTGGAGTGTGGCGGCTCCAGCTTTTTTTTTGGGAATAGTGCCATTGAGCCACAGCCTGTCCTAGAACATGTGCGGTTTTTTTTTGAGGAGTCCCTGTTACAGCCGTGGCCGCGGCCTTCGTGGTGCCGAGGCTCCTGGCCCTGGCTGGTCACTCTCGCAGCTGGTGGGGAAGCCAGCCTGGCAGGGCCGCGGTCATGCTTCGAGGAGACGGGTGCCACAGGGTTGCTGGAGCCAGGATTTTTTTTTGTTTGCCGCCTCTGGTGTGATTGGTAAGGGCTTGTGCCAGGTGGTGGGTGTCACGTGCTGGGTGGCGGGGAGCCCACTGCCGGCTTTTCTGCTCCAGGCTTTTTTTTTCCTCTCTGCTACATCCAGCTTCTTCGTGGGATGTGCAGAGCTCACCGTCCCCTCCATTTGGAGACTGTGGTGCGGGGAGGTCTCTGACAGGCACCTCCTTTTTTTTTTGCCGCCTGCCTAGGGGGCAGCAGACCTGGCACCTGAGGAGGAGGGTTTTTTTTTTGCTGGGCCCAGCTCTGTGCGCGTGTGTGTCCATGTGTGTACGTGTTTTTTTTTTGCTGCGTGTGCATGCGGCCACTTCCTGGGGTGGCCCCTGTGGGCTTTTTTTTTCCGCAGGGAGGTGGGGTCTGCTGCCACTGAGTGGACCTGGCCTGTTTTTTTTTTCCATGTGCATGTCATGTTCTCTGCTCCCCGCCCTCGCCACCGCCATTTTTTTTTCAGGGTGCGCGTCTCCCGGAGTCGTGCTGATGTGGTCCCCTCGGCTTTTTTTTTAGGGCACAGAGACCAGTTGCCGCGTCTCCCTGCCCTCTGGGCTGCTTTTTTTTTGTGGGCTTTGGTCCCGGGCACTGTCCTGCCAGTGTTGGCTCCAGGTTTTTTTTTCCTTCTGCTGGCGCTTGCTCAGCATCCCATGCCTGCTGGCCCCGGGCAGTGTCCAGCGCTCGCTTGGCATCCCATGCCTGCTGTGCCGTTGTTGGTTGCTTTTTTTTTGTGTCTACCAATGGATGTGACCAGGCGGTTCTGGGACGTGGTGCTTTTTTTTTTGTGGGCTGAGTGGGAGAGTGTCTTTTCCATGCCTGCTGTCCCCACAGGCCTTGCCTTGAGCAGGCGTCCTTCGTGGGGGAGATTGGTTGACTCACGGGACTGACCAAGTGGACTTGAGGTTCAGGCTTAAAATGAAGGTCGGTGCTGCCTTGGTTTTTTTTTGCCACCATTAGAGGGGAGGGCAGTGCGTGGGAGCTGCCGGGAGCTTTTTTTTTTTTGCTGTCTTGTTTGCAACTGAAGGTTTCAAAGGTCGAGGCCTGATTTTTTTTTCCTGTCTACTGGCCACGGGCAGCATGGCCTGAGTTGTCCAGGATATTTTTTTTTGCAGGGGAGGGCTGCTGTGTGACCTGGCCACTGAACAGGAGAGGCCTATCCCCCTTCCAAGCTCCAGGAGGCGGGCTGGCCAGGAGGCTGAGGCCCGGTGCGTCCTTCTCTCCAGTTCACAGGTCTGGGTCCTGGTCGGGGGAGCAACCCCAGTTTTTTTTTAGGAGTGGCAGGTGGTGAGCAGAGCTGGACGTCACCACTTGTCCCCATCCAGCCTTGCATGGCCCTCTCTGCCAGCTGCCCTGGACTGGCGTTGCCTGTGGCTGCCACCACAGGTGGGGGACACTTGCATTGTCTGTAGAGCTGGGGTGCCACTGACTGCTGGCTGGCTCCTGTCCTTCCTTGCACTGAGCCAGAGTCTGCCCTGTGTTTTTTTTTCTGCCTCCTTGTCTGGGTGACTTTCTTTCAGGCCCCAGGATAGGGTTTTTTTTTCGTGGCTGCACAGAGCCTGTGGTCCCCTGGAAGCTCTGTATTTGGTTTTTTTTTGCTGTCAGCCGCCCCCCACAGCCTGCG